CAAAATAATGTCTGTTGTATGGGATCCCCGCTTAAATATTTTTTATTCCTTTTTTTAGTATTTGGTGTGATAACGGCAACAGAAATAAATAATCTGTGAAAATTCAACTGTCTCACTATCACGGTCCATTAGATACGTCTGGTGACAGACAGACAGCAGAGTCTTAGTAATAGGGCCCCGTTTTACCCTTTCGGTGCGGAACCCTAAAAAGTATAAGATAATATATAAATATTTCAAATACCTCATATAAGTCAAGTTCAAGGTCTGGTAAATGTAGAGCTTATAAACTCTACATTTCTATTCTATTTTACCTGGTAAATGTCACCTTTAACTTTTTGCTGCAAATTAAGAGTGCTTTCATATTATTTATACACCCTTTATTTGCAGACCATGACATTTACCAGGGATAAAACTACTACAAACGCTACAAAACTTGAACTTGACTTATATGAGGTATTTAAAATAATTATTTTGAGCGGCGGAATTTCATTCGATTTTCAAAGACGTTCATAAAATGAGTTTCAATTCTATAGAATACAAAGATTAACTGTTCAATCGTAGATTCGACATGATTCTGATGTCCGCCGCGACGAATACAAGCAAATTACGCACCACACGACGTTTACATCAAACCGACGTTCGGTACAATAACACGGGCTCCGTTATAAGCTATATGCTTGCGTTAAATGTTATGCTCGCGGCTTCCACGAAACACTGTTTGACAAAACACCGTGGACAATGACACGCGCCGGAACCAAACATTTGTGAATCAGAGCACACTTCCAGCTACATTGGCCAGTTTAGTTGGCATGGATTCGCTGATGACGGCTTTAAATATTAAACACACAAAGCAGTACCCGTGCGTAAAAATCTGTCTCACGTTAACCCCACGCGTGGGCTTATTCTGAGTCTCTCTCTACCGGATTCTGATACTCGCTCATCGCCTTATATTTATACCTATACGTATCATACGGATGCAAACCTCACATATAGATAATATGTGATAACAATAAACACCATAGATTATACACTTATATACCGAGATCTTAAACGAATAACACAAAATATCTGTCCCATAACCATGGACTGTGGAATGTCCAAAACGTCTAGAAATAAAATCAAAACTAAAAAACTATCACACACTTTTTATAAATAACTTAGTTATGTTAGCTTTTGTCTGCAACTAAGATAGCGTAGATCTCGAAACGATATTATCATGCAAACTGAACTAAACATCTCGCTCATATCTTAGAATTTTGGTTATTTGTTGCTAAGCTTATCTAGTCAGTCAAACAGTTCCCTTTTTATTTAAACGATTTTACTTTCGAACGCAACAAAATTGATGAGCAGTCGTAACGTAACACTTCGGTTCAATCAAATCAAATTATTACTGATGTCTCACAATCTGTGTCGAAAAACATGAAAGATGTAAATGGATTTACTTTATTTTTTCTACAACTATATAATAATAAATAAATAAATATTTAAGGACACATTTTTACACAACGTTCTCTAGTCCCAAACTAAGCAACGCTTGTACAACATTTACTACATAACTGATAAACATACTTTAACATACTTTTCTTTTGTAAATAAATACATTTTGTATATAAACACCCAGACACTAGAAAAACACTATGTTCATCACACAATATTTTTCCAGTAGTGGGGATCGAACCCACATCCTCTGGCGCAGGAGGCAGGTACACTACCCACTACGCCATTAGGGTCGTCATAATAATTTATTACTTGCAAATGATCATTTATATTCATATAAGATTTTTTCATAAGATTCTCATTGATTTGCTTTTTGTGTAAACGTCTCAAATAGGATTGTAATTCGGTAGTTTTCGATATAAAATAATGTTCACAAATATTTTGCTGTATTGGTCTACAATTTTTATAAAAATTTCCTAATAACTATACAGGATGAATCATTTAAAAAATATATACAGCATGTCGTTACCATCGCGACAATAAATGTACACACGTCTAACGCTACTTGCCAATAATCATAAAAAAATGTTAACGTTAAACAAAATCCATATTTAAAAAAAAATATTTTTCAAACAAACTAATTAAGTAAAAAAGAAACAAAATTTGTAACATCCTATACAACTCGCGCCACAGCGTTGTATTACAAGCCTCTCCTTCTAACAGTATGTTTTGTCTCTTTTAAATTCATTCAACCCATTCATATGCTTTGTGACCTTTACAAATGAACTTTACGTTACGCTTTTATAGGTAAGGGTGTTCTAAATTCTTTGTTTTGGAAAATTTAATAACTCTGTAAATATTGATGATTAAAGAATTTAAATGTTTAATACAACTTTAAAAAGTTATCCCCTATATGTGTATTCATTTATTGTCGCGATGGTAACGACACGCTGTATATAGAATGTGTTGATATATATATTACAATCTTTAATTTGTTTTTTTTTTTGTCCTGTGTATTTCTTCATATCATATATATTATATTATTTGCACTTGGTATCTCCACGATCGAATCTGCTGTCCTTCGTGGTCGTTTTTTTAATGCAACATTAGAATTAAAGCTCACCAATTTCTTTGAAAAATATCGATGTATTACTCGCAATACCTCAATATTCGATAATTATTTTCGATTTTTATTCATTACTTATATCGAGTATTGAATTTGTATTAATTTCAAAACAAGTTTACGCAACTTTACCTATTATTTTTACTGGATACTTTCTCCTTACGAGTTTATTATACGTATATTTAAATAAACAAGCATGCTCCTTGATTGTTTATTTTTAAAAATTGACCAGTCTCTCATTATTTGATGAGATGACCAATAAATTTAGGATCAATTGTGATCATTTTACGGCAGTTTTTTCAAAGTAAAAGTTTCTGCCAAAATAAATACAAAAATGTGTCAATAATTCTGAAACTTTCCATTTTTCATTATCTACTGCAAATTATGATAACCATTACAAATTCAGCAATTTAGATCTCTTAATGGAAATAAAAAAATAAAAAGCAATGACTTTAAATAGAGTTCTGCATATACAATATTTATATACTTATAAGTACTTCATATTTTCCAGAAATTACAAATTATATTTATTCAGTTAGAAATGCAAAGCACAGCAACTGTTTGACAATAATAAAGTACGCATTGAATTTCTAGTTGACGGATGATCCAATAAAGAACGCGGCGTCTCAAAGTGAAATGGGTCCGAATACTCAGGTGTGCCCGAGCCATGCGCGCCTCGAAACGGATACATTGTGAAGGCGCGCCGCGCCGCGCCACACGGCCAAGAAAATAGAATTAAAAGTCGAACCACAATGGAGAAGCTCTTTCAAAATACATGAATACTTGTTGGGATTTTTTTATTATAATAAAATAACTGTAAGTTATAGATTAATAAAGTAAAATATTTAGGTGAACGGTATTCTTTATTTAGACTCGAATTCTTGTACAAAAATATATAATAACTATGTCGATTAGACATCGAAAAATAAATACAACAAAATCATCATTCTTTTCCGAAGTTAAGTCTACAGCAGTAATCACAAACTAGAGAAATAACTTATTTCTCTTGTCCGTGGTTAGATACAGTTAATAAGGCTCCACTTGGCTAATAAATGCTATATAACCACTAACATTTTATTATTAACAAGTAAAATATATTATTGTACTTAACATAACTTTATGTAACTGTTACCTATTTTGAAATCCACGAATGTTGCAGAGAATTATTTTAAATAATTCTTTATGTGGAATAATAATAATAATAATTATTATTAATTATATAATAATAACATATTTTATAATATACCATTTATAACATATAAAATACCATTTATAAAATAAATATTTATTTTATATATGCAATATATATTTATATGTTTATTTTTTATCTATAAACACAACCAGACGAGAAAACAACGAAATAACCCCAATAATAATAATTACTAACTTTTTTTATAATAACTTTTTATAATAACTACTGTTTTTTTTTTTGCTCATAACTGAAACATCTTCATTGTTATCTTATTATGCTCTAATCACAAGGTGATTGTAATTTACAATCCATTAAAAAAGATATTAAAATAACATAACATATTTTAATTGAAAAAAGTAAAATATTAAATAACTTTAATTTGCAGACTAAATTAAGCTTACATTTATTTATTGCCATCTTTTGGTAGTCATAAGATTATTTAAAAACCAAATGTAGTACTAAAGTTTTGAGCTATTGTCAAAAAGATGGCGCTATTTATTATTTAGTGCACTGCCATCTATGATCAAATAGTATATTTTTTCCGCCAAACAAAATATTTTTCTTATGGTAACCCCAACACTATATAAGAGGACGCCATTTTAAATTTCGGTCTATTTTGATTGGTCAATTCAGTTGGCGGTCTTCAGCTAGTGGCGTCGTTCATTATGGAATATACACTCTGTGAACCGGCGACACGGCGGCCATTTTGCCGTCGCATAGTTTTCAGTTCTCAAGACCAAGAAGGAATCTGCCGAAATTGCGGGAATCGCTACAGTTTTTAACATAGGTAAGATTGTAATATACATAACTTTTCCATCGTTTTATATATATTATATTATTTGCACTGGGTATCTCCACGATCGAATCTGCTGTCCTTCGTGGTCGTTTTTTTTAGTGCAACATTAGAATTAAAGCTCACCCATTCGAAAGCACAAGAAACTCTCTGTTTTCGTCAGTTACGAGCCTTACATTTTACGATATATCCGTTTGTTATTCTATATCGCAAAGAAATTCAAGACTGTGTTTTTTCAGGACTTATGGACATCCTCTTCTAAAATGTATTTATACAACTTAACTCTACAAGGCTCCACAGCCATTACACATGCCGTGCATGGTAACTTTTCTGGTACAAAGCAGCAGGAAATAGTGATATCACGTGGAAAGACCTTAGAACTTCTTCGGCCTGACCCGAACACAGGCAAAGTACACACTTTAATGAAAGTGGAAATATTTGGTGTTATTCGTTCTATGATGTCATTTCGTCTTACCGGCGGCACTAAAGGTCAGTGAACTTTATGACACGTGGTTTTATAAATAACCCATTTACCCATGTGGTCTATTGTAATAGTTATTGCATTGTCTTGCTCCATACCCTTGTTTTATATAGGAGTGTGGTATAACTAGATGCATAGACCAATTCCAACGCGTCGCTCTTGGCAATTCGTAATAATCGTTAAGATGTATGTAGTGATGGTACAATTTCTAATCAAAAATTGTTTGAATCTATTAGACAAGGTTCCTCAAACAATAACTGATAAATTTCTTTATAGATTACATCGTTGTTGGTTCTGACTCTGGAAGAATTGTAATACTGGAATATATCCCAGCTAAAAACATCTTAGAAAAAGTCCACCAGGAAACATTCGGGAAATCTGGATGTCGTCGAATAGTTCCCGGCCAATATTTGGCCATTGATCCCAAAGGTAGAGCTGTTATGATTGGTAAGTAAATTCTTTGTACGTCTTTTTTTTAGCTTCCAAATATCTTTAAGGTACGAAAATTAAAAAATATGACAAATCAATGTAAAAACTAAGAATCATTACATTTATTCTAATTGAGAAAAATAAATGTAGTTATTTTACACTGGAGAAATCTACTATTACATTGCATACAACAGCCATTTTTTGCAAACATTTCAAAAGAGCTCTCATTTTTACCAAAAATCAAAATCAAATGTATTTATTCAACATTACACTCACTTATTGATAGTCAAAACACTACCACCGGTTCGGAAAAGAAAACCACTGTACTGAGAAGAACCGGCGAAAGAAACTCAGCGGGCTTTTTTTTTTTTAAATAAGCAGTTTGACATAAATTCGTTAAAATACAATATAAGAACTCAGATTGAAAGAGCCTGGAGCGATCAGTTCATTACCAGAGTGTGTTATCATTTAAATAATCATTAATATTATAGTAGCCTTTAACACACAAACGTTCTTTTACTACTTTTTTAAATTTAGCTATTGATGGATTTTGAAGGTTTTCTGGAATTTTGTTGTAGAAAGAAACATATTCATTTTCCCATAAAAGATCTACTCATTTTACTCAGTCTACATGTGGGTAGGAATTATTTATGTTTGTTCCTAGTATTTATATCATGAACATTATTACGTCTTGAAAATTTATCCTTATTTTTATGGACAATACATAACATTTTCAAAAATGTATTGAAAAGCAACAGTCAATACTTCTTACGTCTCTTTAAACAAGTTTCTTAACGATTCTTTGGGGCCCAGATTATAAACTGCACGAATAGGTCTCTTTTGTAGGTAAAGATTGTATTAATGTCGGCCGCGTTACCCCAAGGCAGAATGCCATAAGACATTATACTGTGGAAATAACTAAAATATACCAAGCGAGCCGTATCAACATCAGTTAACTGTCTTATTTTTTTGACCGCGAAAACTGCTGAGCTAAGTCTACTCGCCAGTCTATTAATATGGGGGCCCCATTGCAGTTTGGCATCAATAGTTATGACAAGGAATACAGTTGAGTCAATAGAGTCCAACGCTTCCCCATATAAAAGTACATCAGTTTTTACATGTTTAACATTGGAGGAAGTTGTAAATTTAATACATTTAGTTTTTTTATTATTCAACAGTAAATTGTTAGCACTAAACCAATGTACTACAGTAGATAGAGTATTGTTTACATTGTCATAACTTAAAGAACGTCGGTTTACTTTAAAGATTAAAGAGGTATCATCCGCAAACAATACTATCTCATGATTATTATTAACAAGATAAGGTAGATCATTTATGTAAATGAGGAAGAAGAGAAAAGGCCCAAGAATAGATCCCTGCGGGACCCCATATTTACCAAGGCCCCGGGAGATCTCTTGCCATTCACGTCAATTCTCTGAATTCGATGGCTCAAGTACGATTTCAGAAGATTGAGTGCGGCATCTCTTATACCATAGTGGCGTAGTTTCCTGACCAAGGTCTCATGCTGTACACAATCGAAAGCTTTGGTTAAGTCACAGAATATTCCTAAGGCATCCTGCGACTTTTCCCAGGCTTCAAAAATATTCATAACGAGCTGAACACCCGCATCAGTTGTTGAGCGACCCCTAGTAAACCCATATTGCTTGTTATGTAATAAATTATGAGAGCTAAAATGCTGTAACATTTGATTCAACATGAAAAAATTTTTTCAAAAATTTTACTAAGAGTTGGGCAGTACAGAGATAGGTCTAAAATTATTGAGGTCGGAAGTACTACCAGATTTAAACACCAGAATGATTTTACTATGTTTCATAAGGTCAGGAAATTCGCCACGATTGATACAAATATTAAAAATAGTTGCTAGGTAAGGTGATATTACATCAATAATAGAACTGATCACCTTAACCGAGATCCCCCATAGATCTGCAGTTCTTTTAACATCTAAAGTTTTAAAAGTTTTAACAATTTCTGTCTTGTTTACAGTAGTAAATTCAAAGTTCACCTTACATTCCATAACATTTTCTTTTAGTAATGACTCGGCAGCTGTCGGTGAGGAAAGAAGTGACTTGGTTGTGGAAACTGGAATGTCATCGAAAAATATCTCGAAGAATGTAGCATTGATTGAATGTGCCTGATTTGAGTTAAAAGAATTATTATCATTAGTTAACATTAGGTCAGATTTGCGCTTCGTGACTCTTCCCGTTTCACTATTAATTATTTTCCAAGTCATTTTGATTCTATCAGGTGCATTTTTTATTTTATTCCTAATATATAGAGATTTAGCATATTAAATATTTTAGAGTAGGCACTAACATAAGAAACAAAATATTGACTATGATTGTATGTCCTTTCACTATAAAGTTCATACAATCTACGTCTACTATTATGAATTCCGACTGTTGCCCATTCATTGAAAACTACAGAGCTTTTAGGTTTGACTGTCTTAGGAGTAAATATAGTATTAAATTCCACTTTAATTAAATTAAATAATATGTTGTAAAGTGCATTGGGGCTGTCATTATAAGGTAGATACGTCAGCTTTTTTGTTATATTACTTCTAAACTTCTCAACCCGAGTTCTATTTACAGGAACAACCATTATTTTTTGTACCTTAGCACTACTATTTTTTATACATGATTTAAAAGTGGCAAGTTGTCCGCAATGGTCTGAAGTAAATATATTAATAATAGACTTGTTAATTGGGTTACAGTTTGTAAATATGTTATCTAAACAAGTTGCGGAAGAAGTAGTGATTCTAGTTGGTTCAAGGAATAAATTGGCAAGGTTATATGAATTTAACAATGATCTGAATCTAATAGAGGTGGTAGTATTTTCTAATAAATTTATGTTAAAGTCACCACAGACAATAATATATTTATTAGACTCAGATAACTTCAACATCAATTCTTCCAAAACATTTTCAAAAGATTCATATAACGCACTAGGAGGTCTGTATACGCATACAACAATGAATTGCTCAAGCTCCACACAGGCTATTTCAATAGTCTGCTCAACAGAGAGGCTCACAACATCTTTGCGGTTCTTAAATTTTAAAGCATTATTAATAAGTATAAGAGAGCCACCACATATCGCTTTTTCTCTGCTGAACAGACTAGCAACCTGGTGACATCTGAAATTAAATATGTACTGGTAGTTTAATAGCCAATGTTCAGTAATACATAATATATCAATATTGTTACTGTTCAAAAATAACTCAATTTCCAAATCTTTACTTAACATTCCTTTGATGTTTTGATGGACCAGGCTAATACAATTTAATTTAATACTACAATTAATGTCTTTATTCAATTTACTTACATGTCTCACTAATTTACTAGAATAAATTAAAGTTTTTAATTGAAGTGCCAGAGATTGCCTCTGTTGTCTTCTTATTTAATTTAAATTACTTGGAACGGATTCCAAATTGGTACATGTCAAATTTTGTTGCTGTTCAATAGAAGCAGCAGTCTGGTTAGCCAAACAATTGGCTGGGTTTAAAAAAATGCAATAAGATAGCATATAAGCTAACTGTTTTAAATGAAAATTGGATAGGATGAACCTATCATATGTCAAATTGGATGATTTATAATTTATAATATTATTTATGTCAATTAAATCACAATTTAATTTATTTTTTTGATAAACGGATACATAATTGTTATTTGTCAACATATATAACATATGATTAAGACTATGTCTATAATTGTTTTCCTGTGGCAACCCTTTTACATAGGGAAATGTGAACATTATTATTTTTTTAACATTTAAGTTTAATAATTGATCATAATAATTCTGTAAGTGTTTCTTGCTAACATTTCCCCTTCTCCCAATTAATATAATTAAGATAGTGTTGGGACAATGAGTGTGTTGCCGCCATATCATACTAATTTGAATATTCCCGCATTAAGATGTCAATTACATTGACAAATCATACTTCCTTTAAATCCTTCATTTCATTCGTTCGCAACCGGCACTGTCCGTTCAAACCGCACGCACGATGGACAATTATATAGTGTAACCGCTCGCCTTTAACACCGCATCAACGCTTCTTCTACTTTAAATTATTAACTTTATAAATCACGGCCGTGAATGTGTAAATCTGTGTAACTGTACATGACTTATAATCCGAGTGCCTCGCTGACTGAAGCCGATAGAAGATTCGTCGCTGGAAGCCTCCAGGTCAGTGCGTGCTCCATGATTCGTCTGCCGGTTGCAAATTAAATCCTAACTAATCCCGCATATACAGTCCACTTTTATCGAAATAAACCTAATTCCGCACCATTTTTTTTGGCCACTTCGCCCGGATTGCATTATTTCCTTCATCCGCATATTCCAAAGCATATTTCACGACGTGATTTCTCGCCTCATTCTATATATTCCTTCACGCATTCATACATTCAATATTATTTTTTATATATTCACGCATTCTTACGCCTATAACGAAATATTATAATAAAATATTATAATACAATATTTTATATACTATCCCGCATCCCGCATTATATATATATTATTTAAACCCGCTCGTATACATATTACCATTATAAAAATACAATATCATTAGTATTATATACCGCAATACAATACAATTACTTGGTTCGTTCGAACGCAAGCGCAACTAGATAGTTTTATTGATCTACCTCCATTGTCGCAATTTAAAAATGCTCGCATCGCTTTAACGCAAATTTCGATTCATAATTTGTTTTTGGATATTAAACTTCTATAGAAATATATTCAATATTGTATACGTTATTTATTAAAAATGTCAACATCAAAAAATAAATCAGAAACGCCAGATTCTAAATTAAAAATGTTACTGAATATAGCTTTGGCCAGACGCGATTCTTTATTTAGCCGCTTACAAACAATTTACGATCGTTCTCAACAAGTGGAGAATGAGGAGGACATAGAGGAGTTCCTTTCTGGCGCGACTTCTATTGACGCATTACGCAGTGATTTCGAAAAGGTGTTGACCGATTACAATTTGTATAATATGC